TGTGTGAGGAATAAGAAAAAAAATATTTTGTTGACATGTGAAGTTCGCCAACACGTGCGTGTATTGGGGCTCCACGGCGGACACTTTCTTGCCCTAAAACCCTCTCAGAAATGAGGGGAGGCCTGTGCCTCGTGGGAAGTATATAGGCTGTAACTTTACTTTTACTAAGGTACGCAATCAAAAGTTACGGTCTTTGAAATATGTCAAAAATTTAATTATCGCATACTCACTTTGTTAATTTGTAGTTTTATCGCACAAAATCTTTTTTTTTTTTTGCTATTAAACTTACAATTGCAGATAGAACATTGACCAATATAGACCGATTTATGAGAGAAACTTCGTTTCCACTGTAAAGTTTGCCCTTCAATCTGACTTACGTTTCCGTTAGAGCAATGTTCGGTAACCGTACGCTTAACTATAATTTTTACATTACAGTAACTTAAGTGTTTTGGTAAAAGTAATACGCGGAATAATCGGGCGAGAGCCACATACACTTGTTGTGTGTGGTTGACACGGGATACTAGTCTAACTTTAGTCTTATAACAACGATTCCTTACAAATAACAACTGGATTACATCCTTCTTCATCCTCAGTAAGCCCGTAAAAATACATTACAAGGGCATGAACCACTCCCTATGTATGGAGGATTTGCTTTAATCATCACGCGTGTCAGGCAGGTTGACGATCGCTGTATCAAATGAGATTCACCACTGAGCCTGCTGCCTGTCGCCGGTTTTGCCCAGACCTGTTTAAAAATTATGAACAACTAGCGATCCGCCCCGACTTCGTACGGGTGATTTCTGGGTCTGCCATCTACCCACTCAAAAAAACACTAAAAATTTATCAGAATCGGTCGAGCGTGTTTTAATGAGACTAAGGGATACCAATTGATTTTTATCTATAGAGATTTCAGGCCTGACGTAAACGAGACGGCAATACCGCCATCTATCGGAATTCATAAGGTTTTATTTGGCATTTTGCATTGTCTGATTTAATACTACTATTTGCTACAACTACTTATTATTATAGCATGTATATATATATAATATTTGGTCGTTAGTTAGTGATCGTGTAACTTCGGAATGACTTAACCGATTGAGTTCATATTTATAGAATATAATATTTACACTATCGAGACGATGGTTTATAGCCATAGCTATACTCAAATTTGATAGGCGGCACCGTATCTGAGTTCAAATCAAAATGACTCAAATGCACGATATACACCACACTTGATGCGGATAACATAGCAACAAAAGTAATCCAAGGACTAAACAAATAGATGACAAAAATTAAGACGTGCGTACCGGGTAACAAAGACGCAAACCGTACTGATGCGACTGTATGAACGAGGGTTTGAGAGCGGAGAAACGGAGGTCTTCGCCGCCTGAGTATACAAACTAACCAGAGGGGAAGCTACGTACAAACGCCTCGCTCCGACTATACCCATACAAAGCACAGCGATGTGTGCGTGAGCTCTCGCCGACAGGTTCATAGGTATACATTTTCGACGTTGTTAGAAAGCTTCCCCTCTGGTCCTTACTCCTTATTCTGTGGCGTCGCATTGCAGTGAGGTGCAAACTTAACTCAACAAGGTTGTATTATTGCTTGTCTATAATGGAAATCGTGGAATCTGGATCAGATAAGTGGAGCTGTGTTAGAGTTATTAATAACTTCTATATTTACACTGTAAAAAGTCCTTACCTGGATAGCTATACCTTACATGGAGGTTATAGTACCTCTATCCTCAATATTCTTGCCGTAATTTGACAGGAATCTCGTATGATTATATTATTTTAAATTTATCACGCTACGTACCAAAACAGGACAGAACAACATTAACCAGGCCAGTTTGTAATATTATACTATTGGGTGGTTAATTTAGGTTAACTAATCTTGCTGCTAAAGAAACAGTTCATCTACAACTGTGTTCTGATTTGAAACGTATGAAAAGTCAATAACAGGCTGTGAGAGATTCTACTTTTATCCTCAGGAGCAAAAACATAAGCTATAGCCTTATTCGTTTAAAGTTTATTGGAGGTATCGGTGAACTGCAGAACCGGCTTATATTAAAGATAAGATATTAATACACGAAATTTTTTCGTCGTATTATCTCGTCTTACGGATAAGTGTCATTTTTGCGACTCTCTAGTACACAAAATATTTTCATTACAGTCATTCATAAGTCCATTGCTGAACATTGGCCTTAAGGATTGTTACCTAACAGGGTTCTGAGTGTGGCAGGTCAATTTAGGTGGCTCATTTGCATCCACTTTGTGTAAAACCTACATTGAACAACAACTAAATATTTAATACGACTTATAGATCTCGTGCTGCATCGCAATCGCGCCGTACTCGCAAGATATCAAGCTGTGGCCGAGGCGTGGTCGTGCGATCTTATCACACCCATTAGCGAGCGCCGCGCCCAGCCACTATCTGCCGCATCATGTGTGCCAACACACTCACTAACGTCACAAACAACGTAAAAGAAATATAGATTTTATATTTTATATTCTCTGAGATTGAGTTTAAATTCCTTTCCCAGCGAACCGAGAGAAATACCGATTTAAATACGGCACCAGATATGAGCCTCATCTTTCTTTGTACAAACTTATAGCTCCGTAATATTGTTCGCCGACTTTTTTTCCCTGTTAGTAGATTTTCGTGTGAGAGCTATCGCGATGCGTATCACGACCGTAATTTGCGTGATGCAGCCGTTTTCGACGATGATAGGCTCCGTTGTGCCGTAACAGTTGGGACGGCAGCCATCAAACCTTATGTCATTCTCTTGTTAAGAAATTATTCGTGGAATGTTTCACCCACGCATCGACGGCTTCGCACGGCCTATGGAGGTGCCTAATGCATTCTCTATAGAATAAAGTTTGATATCGATCTGCTTCCCGGAATATTGTCGGCAATGTTATAAGAAAAGTTTATTTGATAAATAATGCTACATACGTGCAGTTCTAATTCGTTTGTCCTTGATCATAGATGTTTGTTAATTTAGATGTTAATTACACTTGTTATGAACTATCAAGTGATTACATAGGGAAATTTGTTTTAGTCATTTATGTCATTGATATTTATTTGATATTTAAACGAATGGTATACATTTTTTTTACATAGGATAAGGTGACAAACGAGCACACAGTCCACCTGATGGTTAGTCGATTCTGTGGCCCATAGACACCTACATCTATACTCGATTACGAATCAAAATGCACATGAGTTGCCACCCGTGAGGACTAAGATGGAATACCTCCTTTCCAGTAAAATGAGTGCCCGGTACTCTACACTCACCCTACATTTTCACGCTGGTATTCTGTGAGAGCGTGGTCCTTCTCTGGTCAAGTCGACCCATTCGTGCTACGACTATACTACTAATATAGCTGCAGCATGGCTCTACCACGTAAAACAAAATTACATTTAGTAAAAAGTATTAAATGACAAATGCAGTTCAACTAAATACTCTTTTGTGGCACATAGGTACAATATATCCGCCCCGGCTAAGATGCAGACATGTTATCCAATCTAAGGAACATAACGAAGCTACTCTTTTATCAACCTCTTTAAGATCTTATAAATATGGATCCGTTAATTCTGAAAGTCTATGTTTAGTAGTGGGCTAAATGTGAAGCATTATACCCACGACCTGATAGCTTATTTAATTAGATAAGCACATATGTGGTCATAAGTAATTATTAGGTATTATATATGAATTCGTATGGGATACATATAGTATTATGTACATGTGATATCTATATCATATCACAATAATATTTATATCATGTTGAAACCGTTGTAGCAGATGGACGCTAATAAATTCATAGTATAAGAGCTACACAAATATATGTTTTCAAGCTACTGGACTGGAAAGGATACGGTATTAACATCAATGGCGAGTACATCACTCACCTTCGATTTGCCGACGATATAGTCCTTATGGCAGAATCGCTGGAGGACCTAAGCATTATGCTTAATGACCTCAATGGTGTCACCCAACAGATAGTTCTTAAGAAGAACATGGATAAAACAAAGATCATGTTTAATGTCCATGTCACACCTATGGCGGTAGTTTTTGGGAGCACTATGCTCGAAGTTGTTGACGAGTACGTTTACCTGAGACAAATAGTCCGACTAGGTAAGTCCAACTTCGACCGAGAGGTCAATCGACGAATTCAAATCGGCTGGGCAGCGTTCGGGAAATTACGACACATCTTATCGTCAGGTATACCTCAAAATCTGAAAATTGGATTGTACAACCAGTGCGTGTTGCCAATAATGACTTTCGGATCTGAGACGTGGTCCTTCACTGCTGGCCGTATGAGGACGCTCAAGGTTGCTCAGCGAGCTATGGAGAGGGCTATGCTCGGAGTTTCTCTGTGTGATAGACTAGAGAGAGGACTTTTGAAGGGATGTAATGATGTTAATGATGAAGCTGTATTCTATGATGTCAGACCTATTTCAACCACATTGACAACTTCCGAGTAATAAGACTAGGGAAGTGATAACCCCATCGCCCGCTGACGTAACAGTTAAGTGACAAATCTCCTACGTCAGCGCAGTCAGTCAGCGCCTTGCCAAGGGATGTAAGCGCTGTACCTCTGCAGAATTGAGGGTGCAAAGGCCCGTTTATGCTTATGGTCGCACATGATACTTTTTTTACTGACGCCCAATTTATGGATGATGGACAAAAAAATAGTGCGCAAAGGGCCGCTTCCTGAAGGTCGCCAGGGCTCGTCTGGAGCCGGCGCTGGACGCGACAGCATGCGGTCCGCCATCCGAGCTCGGGGCGCTGCAAGACCACCTAGCAGCCCCCGCATCCATAATCCCCACCAGAAGACTTGGTGTCGGCTGGGTATTCTCGGACTCAGCAAGTGGCACCCGCCGCTGGTGGAGCACGTCGCATGCGTTGGTGGCAAATAATGAATGCAAATGCATTGCGGGGGTGTTTTAGGGCAAAAGGGGAACAAACTGGAAGGTTTGTGTATCGGGCTTAGATGAATAGCTTTTTTGCAGAGCTGGAGCCATCTCTAACCGCCACTGAGCAAAACCTGACAGACCGAGTTCGGTACATCCTGTGCTCCAACATACTTGGTGATGCCGAACTCGTACGACTACGACGTGAGGCTGTTCCCCCATCGGATGAAAATCCTACGGCTGGGAATGCGGCGCCACTAATTGCAGACCAACCTGTACACGTCGATGCCGCATTGTACATTCCAGTTGTGGTTGATCCCGGTGATGATGTAATAGTCTCCCATGGATTAGAGACAATGAGGAGCTTATTGGAAGAAGCGATTTCAAAAACACGCAGTATACGCGTCCTGAAAATCGACCGCGACTTTCCCGCATACCATTAAGCAAGTGGTATCGGGTTATTGTGAGGGCTGTTAGCCCAGTGCTGGTGACCTAATTGGAAACCAGCCGGAACCTTTGCGAAACGGACTCAATTATTTTTGGTGCCACACTAGCAGTCTGCCGTATTATTGGCGCCAAACTTCCCACGGCTGGACGCGCTACTATACAAAGTAGCACCATCCCAGCCTGAAGAAAAATAATTAAGGACCGTATTTCAAAGGCCCTCGTCAGCAGACTGAGAAGCTTCTTCTTCTTTTTTGGGTAACAATAGGTCGAGAGTTGTGTGCATTGTTAAAATGGCGTTTGCTGGGACAAATATCAGTTTGTCCTAGCCGGATATCACGCCAAAACTAACAGAGCACACTGATGACCTGAAGCAAAATATCGGTGAAGCGGATTCAGAGATATACCGAGAGGTCGAGGCGGTTCAATCAGAATTGTCTCTTCCAGGGTGATCAGAAGAGGCTCTATAAATCTTTGGATCGAGCAAAGGTATGTGGAACGGGCCCAGTACCGGATCAGGTCGACACTGTCGCATTCTGGCGTGGCCTGTGGTCAGTGCCCGTAAACTACAGCGAGGGCCCTTGGATGGAAGTTATGGCGAGCCAAGGTGCGAGTGTTATGCCTATGGACTCCGTCAACAAAACGCCGGAAGACGTGGTTGGGGCGGTCCATAGGGCTCCAAACTGGATAAGTCTGGGTCTCGACGGGCTGCACCAATACTGGCTAAAGGGGTTCGTATTGTATCACGCTGTGCTCGCCCGACAGTTTCAAGAGGTTCTCGACCAGAAGTAACTCCCGAGCCTCTTCACTAGTGGGATCACTCACTTGGTTGCTAAAGATCAGGATACCACACCCCAGCAAATACCGTCCCATTACGTGTCTACCCATCATATATAACACTGACATCTATTTTGAGCGCGAGAATCACTCGTCATCTGAAGCTAATTAAGGTGATGTCACGCGCTCAAAATGGATGTCAGGGTGGTGATCGTTGAACCAAGGAACCACTCCTCACTAACGCAGTCATTGCTAAAGTGGTTCTGCGCAACCGGTGAAACTTCTCCGCCGCCTGGATAGACTACAGAAAAGCATTCGACTCGGTGCCCCATACATGACTAAATAGGGTCCACGATCCGTACAAGGTTGCCTTACAGTTAGAGGCTTTCTTGAGCAGTGTATGGGGCGGTGGAATACGATCCTTTGTCATCTGGGCGAGCGGATGATGGCTGCAGAGAACCGCATAAGGATAAGAAGGGGCATCTTCCAGGGCGATTTTGTGATTCCAATCTGGTTCTGCCTCTCTCTGAACCCTCTCAATACCTTACTAAATGGCTCCATGCAGGATTTAAGCTTCAGAACGGAGGGACAAAGTGACCCACCTTTTCTACACGGATGATCTCAAGTTGTTCGCCTCTACTCTCTCTACTACTCTCGACACCATCTGCGGTGAGTCGCGAAGAAGGCAACTAATATGCGAGATTGCCGTGAAGCAGAGGCGAGCAGTAAGGCTCAGAGCCGTGCCGAACACTGTATAGCGCAGAGTGTAGCTTGAAGGAACAGGAAGAATTATTATTCCAGTACTGCGATGAACCATGTGAAGCTAGCTGGCTTGCAGAATATGAAGACTGCAGACGATATCTGCTCGAGAGTGAATGGGTGGGGTATTCTATGACGATGATGAAGCTTGAAGTTTTTTGAAGGTTGTTGATTGCGTGTTCAGATCACGTCGGGTGGTCACCACTGTGGCCGCGGTAGGAAAAGGGAGATCTCCCGCCGGGCAGGGTGTTCTGCCCGAGGAGCGGCCAACACTCCGTGTGATAGTTCGGAGATGTTCTATATATACTGTTTATGATTCGGAATTTTGATAGCGTGATTTAGGCTTTGGTGTGTTTCGCTTGCGGCGCGACGACAGCGCCACCAGATGGGTAGTCAAGCCTATCTTGAAATATCCTCAAGACACCATTTGAGCTCTCCTGTAGTCTGCATAACATTAACGCAGTTCACTTCCTTATGATACCATAAACATCATCAACACCTGCTTCAGCAAACATGCTTGAAGCAGGTGTTGATGATTGTGTATCTAGGAGGGCCCATTAGCGTCCTGCAGGCATTATTATATTGATTTAGAAGTACATTGTAGGTCCTCTGCATATATTCATACCACAGGCCGTAGGTGGTAATTTTTAGGCCATTTGTACACCTTGGTACACCAAGGAGCTTTACTGGCGGCACAATCAGTGGCTTCTTACTAGTAACACGTAACACCACTAACTCACTTTTCGTGGTGTTATAGAGGAGTCCATTTTCAGCAGCCTATGCTTCACACACACCTAACAGTCTCACCGATGGACTAAGCAAAACCACGTTATCGGCATAACGTATATTATTGATCATATTATGTCCATCAACAGAACAGCCTACCCTTGTTTCACTGAGTGCACCAATGAGCCCGTTTATGTAGAGACTGAACAGCATAGGCTGAGACAACACCCCTGTCTCACCCTGAATTCCAACACATATTTGTCGGATAACGCACCAGACCATCTGATCTGGGTAACTAGATGACCGTACCAATATATGAAAGTGGTGATAACTTACGTTTAAACAGATATTTCACGCAGTTTTGTCCATAGTATGTTGTAATTAATCGGTTCAAATGCCTTAGAGAGATCCGGAAATCTAGCATACACTGGCGTTTGTCTCTAGGTGTAATAATTGACAGTATACTTAGCACTCTTTGTCGAGAGGCCTGATGTTGCAGCATCAGGCCTCTCGACAGAGAGCTACAGTGACCTTTGGTTTATACGGTATTCGTATAAACCAAAGGTCACTGCTCTCTTGTCAGATGTAATTGTAATCGGAGGTGGGCTAAGATTAAAATGCAATGTCAGAAACAAGGTAAAATCACAAACGAACACCGGCGGGGCTTCGAGTCTAAGACCCGTGGCGTAGTATTCTTACCACTGGGTCAAGTGGTCCATAAGCCACATAAACAATGGTAAAATTATAATGGTAAAATCTGTATAGGCAAATTTTTACGGTGTGTTCAAATAATTATTAAACAAAGACTGTACAAAAAGGATTATAATAATATTAAGCAATACATCGATTAAAAATACCCAAGTAATAGGGTATTTATATATATATATATATATATATATTTTTTTTTTTTTTTAAATTATAAAATTAGGCATATAAAAAAAAAAAAAAGGAGAAAGGACCGGAAATTGAGGGTTTTTTTTTTTTTTTTTTTTTTTTATATATATATATATATATATATATATATACATAATTCTTAGAAAAAGGGCTTTGTCGCTGAAGCGATTACGACGCCCTTGTACAAATTCTTAAATAGGATAAATACTCACAAATAAACTTATTAATTACTTAATCTCTTATTTACTAACTAAAGTTTTTTGGATCATCTGATAACGGATCTGATAAAATACTATTAATATTGCCAATCAATGACAAATGTAATAGCTATTTCTAATATTTTATATAATAATTGTATAACGTAATGCTCAGTAATAATTGTAAACTGTTATTTTTGTTATTAAAAAAAAAGACCCGCTGGGTATCTTGTGTTTTATTCCAAGGACAGAAGTAATATTTCCCAAACTCGAAGAAATTAAACTTAAATATTAAATTCAATGGGTATCATTTATAATTATATTGTATTATTGTATAAAAAGATTTTAACATTAGTAGCAATTGATCAATATAAACAGGGATGAGCATCATGGTGGACTCTTTGGTTTCTTACCCTCGCTCGACAAGGATCTGTGCCGAGCAGTAAGGTATAGGATATACTGGGTATGTTCCGAAACGTTTTCGGTATACTGCCGAATACAAATGACGTCATCAATTGACACTATATTGTACTGGCGTGCCGCCGCCATATTGCGTCGGATATTCGGCCATAATAAAACAATTTTAATTGTCTGTGCGCTGAATCAAGCATGCCAGAATTTGTTTTTATTTATCCAAATACAAAAAAATATAGAATAATTGTTGGTATCTCTATTAGGAGGATATAATGATTTTTGGAGCACAAAATGACAAAATAATCGCCAACACTTTTCCATTATGGCGCAAATGTATGACGTTATATACTGTCCTATGTTTTGGAACGAATCACCAGTATAGCGTCGATTCATGACGTCATTTGCGTTGGACAGTACACTGGGTTCTATTTTGGAACATACTCAATGTCTTTCATCAACAGGCTGCAGCTAAACTTTTAAACATGGGTCTTTCTCAACGTGCGTCAGTTAGCCAAGTCTCCTGCTTCGATCATTTAATTTCCATAAGTTGGATATAACCCTAGATTACGTTTTACGTAAATCTGAAGAGAACTTACTTATATTTCAAACAAAGAAAGCTACAGATAAGTTGTCACATATCAGGACTAAGATGGAGTCCTTACCTAACCGTCTGTAATTAAACTGGCTTTCTATACCCGTCAAACCAGATCACAGTGCATGCACTGCTATTTGGCGGCAGATAAAAGTACATAGTTACGTTTTAAACTAAAATTGTTCTTCTTTTAATCTTAAAGTGACCCACAGAACGAATCAACCTGATGGTAAATGACCACTATAGTCCATGGATAAGTCGTGCCACTTGCAAGCAAACGAAGTTAAAGATGCGCTATCATAAACTTGCTCTCCATATTAAGACACCTTCAAGTTGGAACACCAGCGAGTTGCTTAAGGCCCGGTTATTAGTAAATTACTGATATTCAAAACAATTTCATGGACTCTAATAAAGTTTCCAAGACCCAAAAAAAATACATAACAAATTTAAGGATATGAGGTTTACGAATCTGCGGTTGAAAACATTATATTTCAAAAAATTTTCGATAGAAATTTTATCTAAACTTTAGTCTTTTGAGTTTTATTATTTTGTTTCATTTTCGAAATACCACGTAAATTACTATAAAAATTAAACTACAATATCCAAGCATATTTTTAACAAACAATTCTGCGGTTCGTTTTTTAAAATTGTTATTTACTTTTTATAAATCTAAATAATATATAATCAAATGCAAGATCTGCTCACGCTAGTCGCCCGCCGGGCCTTGCCGAAGCAGGTCCTGTGTCTAATTTTCGCGCGCACCGCCGTTCCGATCTCGAAAATATTGATCGCGAGTAAGCTTAAGATTAAAGTTTTATATAAAAAAACATTAATGTTAGTATGAATGAATACCTGTCGATTTATTTTCACTTTTTAATAAAAACAAATAAATTAAGAAATGCAACTTCACGTAAAAACAATAGTTTTATTTTTACTTTATATGTCACAGTATAAGTATAACAGTAAGACCACTGAATGTAGCAATTGTGACCTTTTTTGTTTTCGGTGCAAAAGCACCACGGACCAAAGGCATATTTAGATCACAAAAAAACCTCAATGAAAAGTGTGTTAGTGAAAAATGACATTTAAATACAAATTATTATTTTACTCATCTACATATTATACATTAGGTATATAAAATAATTGATCTTCGCCACATCCTGCACATGTATTTTATAAACACCGGTAAAAAGTACCTAATTAGTTAATATTATAAAATTTATTAAAAGTACCTATTAGTTAATCCTGGTCATATACTATCTGTGAACATCCAATTCGGTGCAGCGGTTTTGAAGGATATTAGGTAACAAACAAACATCCAAACTCTCCCATTTATAATATTGGCGTGATTAGTGACAGTGGCGCGGACAATGGAAATCCATTGTTCGCACCACTGTCAGCCAGCTTTATAGTTTAATAGGCTTTATAGGCCT